AACCAATATCATAAGTTTATGGACAAACTTATGTGAGTCGTGAACATTTTCCATTTAATTGTGAAGACTTAGTCACAAAAGCATCCTTTATACTCTAACGCGATTTTTCAATCAGTTCATTATGGAAAATTCCTTAAAAAAAATTAGGGATTCAAGCAGTTATGATAGACTGTAATGTCAAAATCCACACAGGTAAAACAAAAACCTATCTCATAGCACAAATGTGATTATTTTAATTGACTTACACCAAGGATATACGGCTCCTGGATCTATTATCTTATCTGTCTTGGATCATTTAGCATTTCCCCAGTTCAGAGAAGACCAACCTGAAGGCAACCACACTCTCCCTTAAAGGGACACTGTCAAGTATTTCCATGATGCTTTCGTGCACTTCGTGCATGCTTTTCACTTACCATTGATATGTAATACTTTCTTATAAGGAGAAATATGTATTTTCCCTACTTGTTTTGCCCCTCCTGCTCCTTTTATGGAGCAACAAGCTACTGTGGCTCTGCCTTACTTAAAATACTTACTTGTTTGTGATCAGCGTCATCACAGCTGTCAGCACAGTTCTGGGAACAGGATTTATTACTTAACTTGTGCTCCCTCTGCTGGCTGGCTGGTTGGCTCTGCAGCAGCAGAACAAAAATACTGTATATAGTCATGCATAAACAGCAGCTGTCACTTGTTAAAAAAAATCTTGATAAGCAGTGGTGGATTTAGAGGAAAGAAAAATGTGGAACTTGGAAGGCATTTTCCCCACCATATTATAAAAGGAAAAATTGGGCCATACATAAACTACTTGACAGTATCCCTTTAATTTTTCATATTGTATAAACAGAAAATTATGAGGCAATCTTGATGGAACAGACCAACTAGATCACCTAATCCATCCTCCAGCCCCTGCATGATTGCAGTTTATAGTATCTTTCCAGGGTTTAGTTTAATCTACTTTGTGAGCTTCCCTCCCTTTAGGAAAGTATCTCACAGCTCTGTAAGTTCTGTTTATAGTACTACACTGCATACCACCACATCACCTTATACAGTATCGTAACATGTCACAGTAATATGATGGGAGGACAAAATGTAGCCCCTAAAAAAAAATCCATTGTTGGAGATAAGCAGAAGCATATAGTAGTGCGAAAAACAACTAGCAGGTTGCCATGTGATATGTATGCCAATTAAACGAAAAGCATCCTTGTACTGCACTCAGAAAAGGGCACCTTACTACTACACTCTCCTCTTTTGACTTTTAATGAATGGTACCTGTTACCTGCACATTGCAAGTACTCCTGGAATTCAGTTCTCTCTTTTCTCCAGAAGAAAATAAATTTAATTAATTGAAGAGAAAAAAGTAATTCATTTAAGAACAAATCAACATCAACACCCAACGCATGACTTCTACAGGACATGCCATTGGTGGAAAGTCTTCGGGGAGACCATCTAGCTGCTTAGCCATACAGGAGGCTACTGTAATTAGTCTGCAGCGCACAAGGGAGAAAAGAATACTACTGATCTTGCTGATCTGATTCCTGAAGCTCATAAATATCGCTGAACTCTTAAAACTCTTTAACACCCTGAGTATACTGAAAGCATAGCTATGGCACTGCTCACCGCACCACTGCACTACATTCTTAGAAGTGCTGCCCATTCAGTACACAGAAGTCTTCAGTCAGCTTGAACAAATCAGACCCAACATGATACTTGGATATTTAAGGAGAAAGCACCCAAAACTGCATACTGGAAACCCTGATTCAGTAGCTTTCCAGTCCTGAAGGTACACAGCTTCATAGGCACTTAAGCATTTTACTTCTCCGCGTTCCTCTTTGTATGTCCATAACTGTCTTCACCTTGGTAGGGATGAATAGTTCAATAATACATCTAAGCCTGGTCAACATTTAGAGCAGAGGTATTTCTCTAAGCCTCTTTCAGAGTTTAACCTGATGTTCAGAGCCTGATACACACTGACTGCTTAAGGCACCTGAGAAGACCTAACTGGGGGCTAATGGAGGCCCATATTTTATTTTAAAACTTAACAGGTATAAGTGATGGTGATACTCTTTACATAACAACTTCTCTCAGGCCATCAAAAGGATTTAGATACCTAATTCGTACTTAGGATAGACGTGTTACGTTTTTAAAACACTCACGTGGGAAAATTCACAGTTTGGTAATCACAAGCCTATGGGGTTAAAAACTATACTTCTACCTTCCACATGTTCTCTCAGTACGAGACTGCAAACTTGTAATGAGTGGGAGTGGATCTCATGTTGAGCTTTGTCAGTCAGTGATCAGGGTATTTACTAGGAAGGGTGTTATTTGTGGTATCTGAGGGAGATCTGAATTCCAAGGCTAACCTCCAGGACAGTATTTCATAGATACATTAAAGAGTCAGTGGATAAAATATAGAAAACTGTTCTGTGAGTCGATCAGAGTCCACCTCCTTCCTTCTGCTCTCTTCCCATGAGCCTCAAAAACGTCTCTCCACAGCACCACAATGTTTTAGATTGCACAATGAAGTGTTCTTTCCCCATGCACGGTACAGAGAAGAGATGCCTCAGAAAGACTTCAGGTTCTTCCGGCATTAAGCGGCAGTATCTTATCTTAGGTGTTCACATCCCTTATTGGATTTGTCCAATCAAATGCCTTTTTTCACTGAAGTTGTGGCCTAAAGCAGCCCCACTGCCTTTCAGGGATCATAATAAAACTAATGATTGATTACTACCACACCTAGTCTCTTCCAAAGCAGAATCTTCAGCATCTATATTCACACATACATAAAGACACTGTAAAAAGCACATTGTCTGAATTGAATGAGAAATCTCTCCTTTTTTTTTTTTTTAAAAAAAAAAAAGAGGAACAAGTTTACCACTCACTTCTGTTACATCTTTTGCTGATTATCCTCAACCCAGCAACACTGCAAAAAGTCTTTGCTGGCATCAAGTAGCTGCTTTTCTCACTAAATACCCCATCAATTCAAGAAACATATAATGTAACTGCAAATTCACTGCAGTAAATATGGCAATACTATGATCAGTAAATATGATCTTTCAGAGATAATCAGGTATGCAGGGTAGGCTAGCCTGGCCTCAGGAGCTAAGAAACTTTATTCACGACATATGAGTTGTGGGTTTAAACTTTCCCAACACTAGTTAGATATGTAATTAGCAAAGACGCGTTTGGTTCCAATAACTTTTTATTAACCAGTAAATTTGATTTGCCTAACTATATTTAATTTTGGGATATGTCAGTTGTTCTATCAAAGCCATAACTATTTCCCAACTTTCTTTCATTTTAAATCCTCTGATTGGCAAGGCCCTGCACTGCCACTGTTTCGCTTCTGACAGAAGAAAAATTATGGGAGGCTTAGTGTAAATTATTACGTGTATTCTTTAATATATCAGAAATATTTCCGCTGAGCATTGAGACACAGACTCTTACTCTAGAAGCAAACTGTGCACTCCCACCATAAACTCAGGATTCAAACAATGGGTCCAAAATGAATTCATCTGCTCTCAACAAAAATCTACCTCTCATCAAAGAACCGTTATTCCAACACTTCTCATGATCAATATTCTACTGGAAATATTAACAGCACTTCAAAGGCTCACGTTCCCTTACTCAAAGATGCAGTACCAGCGGTATATTTAATCTTCTTGTAAGCAGAGGAGTTACATAAAACTAAACTATCTTAAATGTCTATACAGTAGAGGTACATTACGGACATTCCAGTCTGCAAATACAAAAATTAGCCTATTGTCTGCCCAGACCCAAACAGGGAACATAGGTTTCTAAAAATAGTTCCATAAAATAACAAAATGAGAACTTTACAGTAAAATGTTACAATGGACAGTGCTGAAAATATTATGATGTGGCATATTTTGCCACTTAAATGTACTTTTTTGGTAATAAAATGGGTTGAATTTAAGTGACTAACAAAATATATAAGAACAGATTTTTATGCAAGAGCTTTGCAAATAGAATGACTTTTGTTCTTGTACAAAAGCAAAAGTTGAAATGTGCTCAACTGAAATGTATAACCCGAATTTTTGACAAAAATAAAAACATTGTTTGTAGGCAGGAAACAGTGTGTACCTACAAAACAGCTGTTTCTCATTTTTGCAAAAATAATGATCTTTTATGCCCAGCGCAAATCCATGCAAACTCTTTTTTTCCCCCCAGAGGGTGAGTTTTCCTAAAACGTCACTGTGAAATGCTACCACAAATTTGTTAACAGAAATGATGATATCTTTCCCGACTTAAAATTCACAAATAATCACAAAAGTAGAATACGATCCCTCATGGAAAACTGATAGAGTAGCTGTCTTGAAAAATTATAAATTAGGTTTATTGTATATCCATAATTTTTTAAGAAAGAAACTTAGACCTTGAGTTTTGCTGTTAACAATCCACCACGCTCAATTTTTACTGCCCTCCCTTACAACACGTTGTGGTAGGCATCACAAGCATTGCTATTCACTGAAATAAAAACGCTCAAGTAGGAATGGAAACTTGGAGACTTATCAGTTAGATAATAGTTAGAAACGGCCTTTGCCAGAATTGAAACATGTTAGCAATTTGATTACCAGAAGTTTATACTCTGATTTTCCTGGATAAACAAAATTATTCAATTTCCAGGACTGCAAACATGTAAATAATTCCCCTACTGAAAGTCAATGTTTACATTTCCTAAGATACTAGATGATATTAGCTTCCCAGACACTTCCTGCAAATAGCATGCAATTTTCTCACTCCGAGATCTAGACAGCATACAATAACGCATCAACGATTCTTTTTAATATCGCTTGTAAAAGAGGAGTCACATATTGCTAGGAGACCTAGCTGAAGGATTGTTTTAATTAAATATTTTGCCCTCTTGACTGGCACGCTAACATTCGTTTAACTGCTTCCTCCTGCTTCTGCATCCCCATTATCCCCATTTAACTGGGAAATACCTCAAAAGATAACTGCTTTTTCAAGTGACTGGAGTTAGCACTTACCTGCTGGATACCATACGTCCAGCCTTGCCTGATACGGTCCCTTGCCCACACGTTGTGAGCGTTCTCTGCTAGCTTATCCACCATAGCCTCTTGAGACGGGGTCAGTTTGATAAAACTCAGATCCATGGGAGCAGGCTTATATCCACTGGACAACTGGTAACTGTCAAAAACCACAGAACTTGCAGTTACTTTTCAGTAAGAAAATTTTAAAAGGAATTGCAAAGGAAACAAAATGACAAAGATACAGGTAGGTAACATATCTATTATCAGATTATTTATAATCTGTCTTTGATCGTAAAGAATAATAATGCACTGACATTTGCCTTTGTTTCAAGCTAATTTTATCTGGATGAGATGAAATGGCTGGTAACAAAAGTGACCCAAAACGGCCTGAACTAAAAAAGTCGTAAAAGTATCTTAGTACTTTCACAAATTTAAAGCAGTAGATGTAGATTAAGATGTTTTCTATTTACATACTTATATGAACACTGTTCCTTTTACCTCTGAGCACTTCACAGTAATTGTTAGATTTTAGCTACCTCCTACTGACGGAAGAAAATATTTTCTTCCTATTATAGACAGATGCGAGGGACAGAATAAGTCAAATGACTTACTCGAGATCATGTAGGAAGTCTATCTAATATTCGTTTGTCCTTCTAGTATTTCAGCCCTTAGCTATCCTTCAAGTCCTACGTGGTTTAAGCGTTCCTTCAGAACAGAGACAATTTCCTCACTGTTTTTACCAATCCTAAGAACAAAGCACTATTTACTTTTATGAAGTTGTTCCCACAGAATTACAGTCACCTCCCACTTTGCTTATGACCAAGCTTTCTTCAGTAATAGCTGCAATGCATATGGCAACGGATGCAGCACATGAGGATTTACTAAGCTCCCAACTCAAACCTATGACACTAGGCTGCACCATGGGCATTTGCTAGCTCAAATTATCTCTAGCTCCAAAGCATACGTAATGCACTCATCTGAATGCGGGAGGCTTGCCCAGCACTTGTCTATAGAGGGGAGGAGATGCAACAGCTTTTGAATCTTTTGAAGAACTACTTGTTAAAATAATAATGACAGCATTAATAATATTAATAACAAAGAAAATTCTTTGGCCTGGTTAGCAATTGTTCCGTATTCCCATCCAAATTTTCAAAAAAAAAAAAACCCCGATATTGTGATATATAGATCTGATTGCAAAGCTTTAATTCTTCACAATCTCGTTATACGTAGAAATGAGAGAAACCATTCAATTTACACCAAACGACGATGACCTAGCAAAAATAACTGAATACTCATTCCAGTCCAGTATTCACCTTAATCTGTGGATGAGAATAGAGCAAAAACATTTGAAAACATTAATAAAACATCACCTGGATCCCTATAATATTGCAAGGAATGCTTCACATACCTTCAGATAATAGCTAATCTCTCAAAAAGTAGCTAATTTTATTTATTGATTTTTCACCAAAGCCATTTTATATATGAATATACTGCTCTATGAATATCAGCCTTACAGTAAATCACTTACCTAATATTAATTCACAAGTGCTGCTTTTTTGACTGTCATTCAACTCACAGATCATTAAGTTAACCAAAAAATTTAAAGGCACTAGGACAAATCTGCCATCTCTTTACACTTAAAATTTATCCAAATATTCTAATATTCTGGGGTTACCTGGGAAGTTAACCCATCCTCTTTTTCTAAGCTTTTGACTACTTAGTTCCAGTAATTACAGTCTTAATTACAGTAATCAGTTTGACGGTAATAAGTGAGTTTGCTAGCTGCTGTCATTTTTCTCCACAATAAAGGCAACCTAATTGAACTTCAAATAATAGCATCAATGAGATACTTAAACTTCTGAAGTTACACAGTACAACATACAAACGCAATATAAACACATTGTCAGAGTTATTGGTAGGAGCCATCATCCAGTTTTATGTGCAGTACTCTTTCTGCCTCCGTCTTACATACTTTAATACTTTAGTATCAGTTTTTATTAGGATTCAGTAAACCTTATGAAGTTTCAGGTTTTCACAGATTCAAACTGAATTTTTAAATTGCTTTTCACCAGATACATCAGCTAACTGCGTAGGCAGAAAAGGAAGGGTTATTGAAGGAAGAATTACTCAATTACCTAAAAGCTCAGCCAGTAAAGTTATACCAGGAAAAGAACTTCCTAATAGAAACAGAATTTCCATCAGCAAAAGTACGCTTCAGCTAGTTGTTCAAATTGGTTCCAAAAAAGCTTCTTTGCTGGGTGATGCTGTATTAGAAAAGGCAAATTTCTAGCACAATTGTGGCAGATAGAAATGTGCTTCTCCCCAAATCATAACTAATGCACCTGTGATGCCAAAACTCTGAAGGACAGACACAAACACAAAATTTTTGTCTCAGTATTTTACAATCTTAATTGTTAACAATAGGACAGCAGGGAAGAAAAAAGCAATGGGTTAAGATGACAGGCACAGTAAGGTTGTAAAATTGCTTCGAAAGTACAGGAGATGAGCTAATTACATTCAAGTGATGCCTGCTGCTTCTGTTTTTCAAAACAGCATACAAGTTTTTGTGTCAAGAAGATATGAGAGCTCTTAATAAATTATTACAGGAAAGCTGACCAAGCGTCAGGGTATGCAACTGTATCATGTATAGGAATAGAAATACTCAACAGATACAGGATATGACATCTCCCCTCAAAAATTTAGCTTTTTAAACATTATATCCTGTAACTGTTATGGCTAAGTCTAGTCCAACAGTAGAAGATAGAGGCATTTAATGAAGACATCATATATTCTGAATTAATTTACGAGAAGCATTAATAGCAATAAGAAGATGGGTTAGTGAACACTCGAGATTATCCTAATACATTTCTGCTCAAATAAATTTATAATAATTTATTTGACATACATATTCTTACACGTAATTTTTGTAAAAGTTCAGAAATTATCAAAATGTATGTATGTTATCCAAAGAAATTAGCAGCCTGAAAACTGCAACAATTACACCTCATTATTGCCTTATGCTAACCAATTTCATATTCCTAGGTGAAATTTGTAGGCTAAAATTTAATTGCTTTATAAAATAAAGATTCCATTCCTGTTTAAGCAGACTGGAGACTACTAGTCATTATTTCAAATCCTTCAAAAGACTGCTTCTTTAAATTTTAATAAATTTCTTGATCAATATTATTGTATACTGCAAAGAAAGTGAAAAGTAATAGCACTGTGCCATCTCAAAAATCTATCTCATAGAGGCATTTGCTTTAAAGTAATAAATAGATTTTATCTCATTTGTTTTAGAACAATGAAATGACTTCATTTCAATCTCTTAAACATTATTGGTGAGATAAAGAAAAAATAATAGAGCATGACTATTAAAGATTATAAAGAGGCTGTACTAAAATACCCAATTCTAAACTCCAGCAAATACCTTAAATTCCCTTATTTTCATCTATAAACTCTCTAACATTCTTCAAATTGAAATTCAGGCCTTAAAATTTGCCACCAGAAATACTGGTTTGGCACTCAAGATGTGAGGCCCAGGGAAGACTGTGGAGAATACTGTCCTGGAAGTCATGTCAAAGCACACAACAGAGAAGACTGTGATTGGGAAAAATTAGCACAGGTTTGTCAATGGCAAATGACGCCTGATCAACCTGACAACTTTCTAGGATGGCTGGCTCTGGCCTGGCTCTGTGGAAAAGGGCAGAGACCTGATAGTGTGTTTAACACATAACGGGAAAAATTATAGTATAGGAAAATGCAGCTAGACTCATCTCAGAGGTGCACGGTGATATCACAATTGCAATTAAATATAAACATTTTTTCCTCGCTCACAAAGAGGGTAATCAAATACTGCAACAGGTTGTCCAGAGAGGTTGTGAAATCTCCACCACTGGCAATAAACAGCAATTGACTGAACATGGCCCTAAGCAACCTGATCTAAACTGGCCTTGCTCTATACAGAGGGTTGGACCAGATGACTTCCAGAGGTCCCTTCAAACCTAACTAGTCCTATAATTCTATGGTTCTGCCAGTATACAATGCAGGCATAAATAAGCGTGAAAGACTTAAGTCTTCATGATTGTTTGTTCACGTGAAAGACAGACAGATAGACAAATAGTGCTACTCAGCTTCTCGCACATAGTGAATGAAATTTATAGCAACTACCACTCACCATTTTGCCTCAAAGACTGACATTGATAATCAGAAAGCATAAAAGGCAATCACTAAGTCTCTAGAAAACATCCAGGTAGATTCAGCTTCTTGTCTTAAATTGCTAGAATAAGGCTATTTCTTCTGTTTGATTTTCCCTAAAAATGTTTATGTGGAGGTAATGAGCTACAGAAAATAAACTCAAAAAGCTTCCATAAATTCCAGTGGTTTTCCACTGTCCTTAAACAACAAAATATGTATTGTAAAAATATGCACCTATATACACAAATATATGAATACTTATAAACATTCGAAGAGTATGTGTTTAGTGAATACATTTATGTGAAAAAAAAGAAAAATATAGAAGAAAAATACACATGTTCTCTGGTTTCAGAGACCACCAAGTTACAATATGCCATCTGTCAAATCAATCTTTCTCTTTAACAAAAGATTCAGGAAAAGATGAATGGTAAAGATTGTGCCTTTAAGAAAAGAAATCCATATAACTGCCATAAGAAGAAAATGTATCTGTGTAGCTAAATGATGACAAAGCTTTTTCCCTTTAGTTATAACTGGACCATTAGCACTGATGAAATCAAATGGATCAAAAAAGTCACTATATTATGAACAATATAAAGCAAACATTATTCCAGATTATTTCCAAGTTCAGTGGATGCTACCTGCAAACTCCATTACTAAATCTGATATTTATGTACTTCAGAACAAATAGGAAAAACTCAGCTGAGTCCATAGCGAAATATTAAGAACATGTTTTGCAATGAGAATGCCTTCAGGATAGAAGGGCCGCTTTTAAAGAACATAATGATTTCTTTAGTCTTTCTTACTAATTCATCATTGCCTCTTCCATTTTATTTCACTACAATGAAGACTCAAAAATGAGTTTATGTTACAAAAAGGAAGACTTGCTAATGACAGCAAAGTAAAATGAAAAATGCAGTATTTTCAATATCTGAAAGAACTAAATTGCCTAAATTATCTGTGCATCTTATCTTATAGATTTCTACATTAAATTATTCCTGGTATTTTCAAATAACCTGCCTAGAATTAAAAATAAACATCCAAATAAGTCCACAGAAATATTTATCAGTGTTTCATAGGAAAACTAAATGACTTGAAGGGCTATTGGGGGTGGGGGGAAGGGTGGTCACCCTTTTAACATTCCTGCCCAGTTGAAGCCCCAGATTGATGATGCAAAGGAAACTGATAAGAATGAAGATTCTATTCCTACCAATAGAAAAATGTAACACATTCTGTTTGCATCAAAGTTAGCAAGAAAATAACATTGAAAATTCTAAATAATTCTCTTTTATTCATGGCAATTTAAATAATATTCTTTTTCCTGTCTCACTTTTTGTTGGAACAGGTTTCCTACCTTGCTCTCTCAAATTGTTCCCCTAAACGTGAGCTGAAGCACAATTTATTTTGTGCACATCCCAGGCACTCTTGGATCCTCTGCCACTGCCATCTAAAACACTGGACTAATGAACACACAGGCACTGCACAGATCATACATTTGCCAAACCATGCAGCAACTTAATTCTCAATTATTTGGCAATCCATACAACACTAAGAAAAGAAGACTAAGCTGGAAAAATGATTAACAACTTTTCACCCACAATGGAAGTGCCTGCTCATGTGTCTTAGATTCAGCAGCTCAGAAAACAGGTAACTCTATGGAAACAAGGTAAATGCAACCATTCAGATTCTTAAAGGACTGTCAAAACGTCCCATGAAGATCATGAGTCAACGTCTATATGAAAAAAATAAAAGTCTGTAGTGTTCTTAAAACATAAACATTTACCCATCATTTAGAATTGATGATATCAGACAAGGCTACATAGCATTATTGAATCCGTCCTCAATAATGACAACAGAGAAGGAAAGTAAGGGAACTTAGGGAACTTTAACCTCGGTCAATCACACTTAAGGGGCAGGAGCATTTTAATATTTGGTATATGATTTTAAATTGTAAATTCGTATATTTTTGGAGTTTATTTTGGCATATGGGATTTAAATGCTCTGTGCAGCCAGAGAACAAAATTATTTTTAAATGAAAGTCAAAGAGTAAAAAGATTTAAAATGGATGAAGGCAAAAACTAGGCATTATTCATTACCATGTTCCAACTAGCAGCAAAAATGCCTGTTTAGTGTTCTTACATATTAGTGTTATCAGCATACGCCTGCTATTTGAAAATAAATCTAAAAACCAGCACTGTTTACAAGAGCTATTGGGTACTATTTCAGGTATTGCTAAACTCCTTCTACTATGAGAGAATTAATGAGTCAAATGTTTCTTAAGGGCCATTCTGTTTATTTGCAAAAAAAAATTCTATATTGAGACCTCCTTCCTTGAACACAGTTAGAACAAATGGAAGACGGCAGCTATTTCACCCAATTATTTACAAATCTGCCATTCTAATCAATATCTTCCCTCAAATTACAGATCCATTTTACTGGGCCCCCAGTATTCATACTGTATTTTGTTTCTGACTTGCTTTCTCATCTTTCACATGTCACCAGTAAAAATTTTAACTGTTGTATATATAGTCTTCATTCTCAGTCATTTTCTGGTAAGATCTCCTCATGCAAACAAGAACCTGCGTTAGTGGCTTTGGTTATCTCACTGCACGTTTCTTTCATGTAGTCTGCACACATCGGACCTAGCATAAAAAAGCTACAGGGAAACTTGTGATTTCTCACATGCTTCTATTTAGCCCATTTCGCATCTCAGTAGCATCTTTCATCCAAAGAACTCAAGAAGCTCTATAAGCATTAATTGACTATATGTACCAACCATAGAACCACAGAACAGTTGAGGTTGAAACCTCTGTTAAAGGTCTTCTAGTCCAACCTCTTTCCTCAAGCAGGGTCCTCTAGAGCGTATTTCCCAGGACCTTGTTCAGATGGCTTTTGAATATCTTCAGGGAAAGAGAGTCCACAGCCTCTCTGGGTAAGCTGTCCCAGTGCTCAGTTGCTCTCACAGGAAAAAAGTTTTTCCTCATATTAAGATGGAACTGCCTGTGGTTCAGTTTGTGCCCGTTGCCTCTTGTCCTGTCGCTGGGCACCAGGGAGAAGAGTCTGGCCCCATCCTCTTGACACCTTCCCTTTAGGTATTTATACACAGTGATAAGATCCCCCCACCACCCGGTCTTCTCTTCTCCAGGCTGAACAGTCCCAGCTCTCTCAGCTTTTCCTTATGTGAGAGATGCTCCAAGCCCTTCAGCATCTTAGTAGCCATTTGCTGCCCTTTAAGCCCACCAGTACAGCCAAGTTTCAGTTTACATCATTGTCCATTTATCTAACTCATACTTCATCAGTTTGTCTGCAAGGATGTTACGGAAGACAGTGTCAAATGCCTTACTAAAGTCAGGATAAATGATGTTCACTGCCCTCCCTGTCTTCACCGAGCCATTCATATCATAGAAAGCTATCAGGTTGGTCAACCAAGATTGCTTGGCTTCCAGGCATATTTGTGCCATCGCCTTCCCAGGGATCAAGGTGAGGTTGACCAGCCTGCGGTTCCCTGGGTCCTCCTTCTTGCTTTTCTAGAAGTCAGGAGTCACATTTGCTTTCTTCTTGCCTTCAGGAACCTCCTCCATAACTTTTCAAAGATAATTGAGAATGGCCTTGCAATGACATCGGCCAGCTCCCACAACACTCGCAGGTGCATCCCATCAGGTCATGTGAATTTGCGCAGGTACAGCTGGTTTAAGTGTTCCCTAACTTGATCTTCCTCCACCAGCGATATGTCTTCCTTGTGTCAGATTTTTGAGTAGTCTCAGGGACCTGGGATTCCTGAAGACAAGTCTTACCAGTAAAGACCAAAGACAAAAAGGCATTGAGTGCTTTGACCTTTTTCATGTCCCTTGATCCATTCAGCAGCACCTCTAAATTTTCCTTGTCCTTTTGCTGCTGATACACCTACAGAAGCCTTTTTTGTTGCTCTTCACATCCCTTGCCAGATTCAACTCCAGGTGTGCTTTGGCCTTCCTCACCCTATCCCTGAACACCCAGATAGCGTCTCTACAGTCTTCCTGGGTCACCTGTCCATGCTTCCACCTTTTATATGCTTCCTTTTTATGTCTGAGTTTAAACAGGAGCTCCTTATTCATCCATGCCTCCTGCCACCTTAGCTTGGCTTTCTGCTTGTCGGGATAAACTGTTCCGGAGCAGCCAGGTCACCCTTCTTATCTCCAGAACTGTATACCACAACAGTGATCTTAACTATTCTTAAATTAGGAAGTTTTCCTGAGTTTCCTGAGACTTAGATTTAGCTACATTTTTATAAAAGTATCAGATTTAATGCATATGCACTATCCTGCAAATGCACATGTATTTCTGCCCAGGAAATTCTGTACAAAAATATGGCAACCCAAGACACCTTTTCTTTTTAGTCTTACATGCAGTTATTTTGGGATACCAACACTGAGAAAGAGTTTTGGGGAATTTAAATCAATCCCCTGTTCATTTGTTTTTCCTCATGCATTCTTGTCAAGGGATTACATCAGAGGTTCTGAAACTGTGCTATTAATGATATATGAATCAATGCAGTATAGTATATATCAAAGTCTCTTGGGGCTCCAGAGTCTTGTATCTGCCTTGTAGAGCAAGTACTACACAGACGCCTGCAGGAACCTTGCCAAAATGGGGCAAGTGCTTTTGGCTTCCAACTGGAAAAAGTAAAGGAGTGCTTTTAGCTAAACGTTGGCCTGGGATTAGTATGTTGACCTGATGGAGGCAACATATGTAATACAAAGGTAAGGGTCAGTGAAGGCTCAGTGCAGATAATGATGACATGCAATAGCAAGGAACGAATAAGTATCTATGTTCGCACAGAACACATCCCTGCAAAGGGTTGCAAGATGCTATTCGTGGTACTAGTGGTTACCATTGCTCTTAGTCATAACGAAGTATACTAGCCAAACTAAATCAAATTCAGGCATAACAGAATATGCAGAATTTCTCTCATACTGAAACCGTGTTCGTTGCCTTTCTTAGTTTAAACGAACTACAGTTGTCTTTTATCTGATTTTTATACTGGTCCAGATATAAACTTACAAACCATGGGCTCAAACATACATTAAGCTGTAGTACTTGCCTACGTATGCCTATCACCAACTACAGTTTCATAACTTTCAACCATTTTTACGCTCCCAGACTCTTCAGTTCCCAAATGGGAAGCGCGCTGGTCCTGAGAAAGGAGCAACGGCACTTCGTCTGGACAGTAGGAACTGATCACAGAGCTACAGTAGTAGAGGACACTATACCAGCCTGGGCCCAGTACCACCAAAGCTCTTGATCCCACAGTGGAAAAATCAATAAGCTGTACCAGTCGTCTCTGGTTCTGTATGGTCATTCTAGGAGTTTTAAAAGGGTTACCTTTAAATATTTGCAGAATAGCAAAATACACTGACAAATTTGCAGTAAAAATGTGAAGAATGTGTAAAAACTGTGAAAAGCATCTGCAGTACACTGTATCTATAGATGAGTTTTGAAACAATGAATTGAAACTTCAATGAATCATATAAAATTTAAACTTTGTCTGTATATCAGACTGTAAATATCTAAAGAAATGGCATGTTTGTATGTGAAAAATTCTGAAAACTCAGATAAACAAGTGCACGTATACCTAAGTATCAATAAAGCTACAAATATCAGATTTTTAAAAACACAGTTTGCTTAATCATGATGCCTAATCAAAAAAAAAAAAAAAAAAAGATTTTCAACTTACTTCTTCGGAAGTTTCATTTTTTTCACTTTCTCTTCAGCATGTTCATCAGCAATTCCAACATGGCAGCCTAAGGCTAGCAGGGTTCTAGAACACAGAAATCAGTGACAAATTACTGTCAATACTTCTATATTCAGAGCTGTCAGTTGATAAATAAATAGCACTATATAAAAAAACAAATGAGACCTATGGGAATGACAACATAACACACATTATAATACGGAAGGTCAACATCAGCCTTTTTGTCTACGTGATACATTTATTGATGTTGTTAAGAAAATACCATAAGATGTTCCTAAATGGTTTAGGTAAACTGTATGAGTGGACAACTTCAAAATGGAACTATCACACAGTCTAGCTATCTCATCTCTCTGAGACATCAGTTCAAAGATTCCCTTCTCTTAAAATATATTTATAGCAACAAATTAATTGTACAGAAACACTGGTCAAACATATTCTAAAGAAGATTCTTTAGAGTGAGCAGAGCAAGCACTGTATACCATCTTCAGGGTGAAATATGCTACAGAAATGAATGCATCACTGTAAATTGATTCTGAAATATGATTTTGCCACATATTTGTCATATTTTTTCATAAAACTTTTAAAAGGCATTCTTATTTGTTATTCCTTTAGCATTTACAGATGTCTTCATAAAAGCAGTAACTCCTTATTTTCTCCCCAATTTACTCTCAGATATAATGTAGGAAGAAGAACGACATGCTCACATCTTTAATTAGCCAAAGACACTTGTCAAAGAATGAAGGACAATGTGTTTTTTCCCCTTTCAACACTGATAAAAATCAGTGAAATCTGTTTTAACAATTTGTGTGTGGCACCACTGCTTTATACCAAAATCTTTTTATGCCATGTTGTTTACTTCGAAGATGATGAAAGGAGAAAAAGTAGAATACGTCACTTTTCATCTTTAGAATGTGTGCCTGTGAATAGGCTCAACAGTATTAGTTAAGCTTCTGATTATCTCAAATCTCTTCCTTTCCTTACAGTCAGTTATCCAACAGCATAAATCTTAAGTCTCACTCATCTCCAGGAGTTGATCTATTACTTATCAATCATTTGTTCCTACATTTACTTTCAATATTGGTTATCAAATCTTAGTTTCTTTAACCCAGATGCATTAATAAAATATTGACAGGGAAACGAAAATAAATCCTGGACAAAAATAATAGACCACTCTGGCTCTAAAAACAGGCAAAGCTACAGTGTCCTTGGAATATCTCTCAGTCTTTACAATCTCTGAGACAGAATGTGGGGCAGATAAAATGTAAAAATACGGAGGACTGTACAGGCAGATTTAAATTATGAGAAGCAAGTCCGAGCATGGGAACCAATTTGCTGCTATGCCCCTTTGCTGTATAGCTAAAACTGAACGTAGTGAAACTTAACAGTTTCAGTAACTCAGTTCTCAGCTTAGTGCATTCTTTTTGTTGGCCTAATCCACATGCCTCTTATCTAAGATATAAGAGAAGAAAAGCATTTTTCATATACAAACTTTCCTTTCTCCCACTTGTCCTCCCAGGACCTCCTAGTTTTCCTACAACCTAACCAATGCAAAGTATCTCACATCTGAGAGGACGAAATAATTCTGACAGAAATCATCAAGTTTGGAATCAGATCAGAAGTTTCTCAAAACGTGAGGGTGATACCCATTATCTTTGAAATGGATTATGCAAGAGAAATCAGAAGTGTAAACTTTGGTCTCCAGTTCCAATTTTCCCACGGTGGAAGAAAGCTGGAAAAAAAGATTTTGATTCATTTTCATCTCTAGTAAGAACAATAGACTCCACTCCCGCTTTACTACATTATCCTCTCTTGAGCTAGAGTCTAAAAAACTGTACCTCTAGCAGTATTTATGTGGATGGAGGAATCATATGCTTTAAGGAGATTCTTAAAGTCTATTTTTTGTTCTGGCTACATGAAGTAAACCCTATCATTATGCTCTCTGAACCCCAATTTCAGATTAGGTGGTAAAAGTCAAATACCAGTAAGCCAACCTGCAACGTCCACCTCCTGCAATATACATTATCTGCTATGAATACTCCACACAGCTAAATTTAATTGGCACAAACCACATCTAATTGCTGTGCCACTCTCTCACCTATCACCAGCAGAAGTAGGAGAACCTGTCTAATAACAGAAAACAGCACAGAGGAGCTGACCTCCACTAACCCTAATTTTCTTGTACTGTAAGTGATCTTAAAACAGGCATTTGTACCTTATATTATCTCTACTAAGACAGAACAAATACAAATGAGAGAGCCACAGGAAGATAACAAGGCAACTGGGGCCTGAGATCTAGATTTTAATCACACTCCCACTTACTTCTCAAGCAAACTCATCAATGCCAGTGGGACCTGAAAGAGCCCTGAAGTACTTAAGAGCTACAGAAGAAAACTAGAAGCAGCTGGATGCAGCCTTCAGCATAATATTGATACATATAATTATCACACGCATAACTCAGTAAATTAGTAGAAATGGGAGAGTCAGTCACAGAATAACAAACAAAACAGAATAGAAGACCAACTTACACAAAAAATATAAAGATGGGCAGAAACAGTATCAACATGCAAGCATATTTTAATCTTACGACATTTTCAGAGGTAACTCATTCCTGGATCTTGACATTTCATATAGTTTATCATTTATAGTTCATAATAGTGTTTAATCGTGTTGAAAAACATACAGAGTAATGAAAATAAATGTTATGTCAGATAATATGACTCAGAACTTCCTCGTTTTCTGCCTCTTTCGTCTAGAAGATCTGGCAGCAAAACTGGCAAGAAACCAACTAAAAACCCAGTTATAGTTAGGACTTATACTTGACTTCTTGCAATTACTTCAAGAATTCAGTAAACAGTTCAATATACATCATGAAGAATTTAGTATTTAGTATGCAGCTGATTAGAGGAAGTTTTAGAAGAACATTTTGTTTCCCTTTTCCCTTCTTGCCCACTGAAGTAGATTTGCAATACCAAGTCAAGAGGTAGTCAAAGTAGTTTACAGCTCAAGTTATCACAGCATATATTAACCAGATAGATTAATGCACTAACTTTCCCATTTCAGAAATGAAATGAGTTTGACACTCTCATTCTAGTCCGTAAACACTAAAACCTGCAAAATTACAGAATCACAGAAAGGTTGAGGTTGGAAGGGACCTCTGGAGATCATCTAGTCCAACCCCCCTGCTCAAGCAGGGTCCTCTAGAGCATATTTCCCAGGATCACATCCAGACGGGTTTTGAGTATCTCCAGGGAAGGAGACTCCACTACCTCTCTGGGCAACCTGGTCCAATGCTCTGTCACCCTCACAGGGAAGAAGTTTTTCCTCAGGTTTAGGTGGAACTTCCTGTGGTTCAGTTTCTGCCCATTGCCCCTTGTCCTGTTGCTAGGCACCACGGAGAAGAGATTGGCCTCATCCTCTTGACACCCCCCCTTCAGATACTTGCACACGTTGATCAGATCGCCTCTCAATCATCTCTTCTCCGGGCTGAACAGGCCCAGCTCTTGCAGTCTTTCTTCATAGGAGAGGTGCTCCAGCCCTCTAGTCATCTTTGTATCATCTTGGTAGCCCTCCGCTGGACTCTCTCCAGGAGTGCCATGTCTCTCTTGTACTGGGGAGCCCAGAAGTGGACACGGTACTCCAGGTGAGGCCTCGCCAGGGCTGAGGAGAGGGGCAGGATCACCTCCCTCCACCTGCTGGCAACGCTCTGCCTAACGCAGCCCAGCCTGTACTGCTGCATGGGGTTATTCATCCCCAGGTGCTGTACATAAGGTGCCTCCCTTAGAACTGTATACTTCAGAAAACAAGGACCAATAGAAGAACAAAATGGAAACTGAGCTCAATATGTGTATGAATTCTGAATCTAGAGAAAGACTGCATGCTTTGTCATTTGAATGCCATTTATTTAACAAAAAGATTCTATACTTGTTAAGTAATAAATTTCTTAAAAAAGAAATAACCCATAATTCATGATTTTATACAATCAGTTTAGTTGTATAAACTTTTGGGTTTGTCCAGGTTAGATTAAAAGTATGGATCCTGAACGCATAAATATGTAAAGATTACCAAAATTTGTTCAATATTTAGTGAAACATTAGGAATGGACACCTAATACTGACAGTATGACTTTTATGATGGCTGAGTCATACTCTACAAACTAATCTACCAAAAGATCCAACTGTAGGAAAAAGTTGACGGCATTATCTTTTGCTGCTTCACAAACTGGAATGTAAGACGCTATTCTGGAATTAAAGGACATTGTCATGTCAATAGGAGTCCCAAAAATCTTTCCTTCAAACTCTCTCATCTAGCTGTAGACAATTTTGAACTTATTTTCTTGCCTAAGCTACTGTCCAACTTATATCTGTATAATACGAAATACTTATGTCTAAATAATGCCAAAATGCTCCTTGAGAAATTGTGAACTCAGGTTCACAAATACATTTTCTGTGGAGTAATTGTTTACTATGTGAATGGTAGACCACTAAAGAACACAGGGGAGCTGACCATGGAAGAACACTACAAGAAATTTTACGAGGAGTGCTCCATCAAGTGTTCTACCATAAGGTTCTCAGCTTACCTGGCAATTTTTTGAATAATATAGTAGAAATATTTCCGGAAAAGTACTATCACATGCAGAAAGCCATCCTTTGTCAATATTGTGACTATGAAAAAGTAACTATATTTTAAAAATAAGAAAAAAATAATAGCTTGGGGGAAAAAAAGAGTGACTGGAAAACCACATATACCTCTCGGGCACAGTATCTACTGGTTTGAGAAATACTTTTAGCATGTTAGCAATGCAATGTTACATTTGGAAGAAATTTCTCAAGCTAAGTACATTTCTATCACATTTGCAGCAGACTAAGAACTCATACCTGCTTGACTGACAGAGCAGAGGAATTGTGTCTCTGTAAGCCAGGCAACTAGACTGTTCATACGTATCCATTAATATCCCACTGAAATTGTCCAGCATTCCAATCAGATAGCTTCCACAACATTCACACACGTAATTTTTCATCAACAAGGAAGAGAGAATGCCTTGTTCTGTTTTGTGGTAGCACGTGCTAGTGACATAGAAATAGCAGCAAGGGGCCCTGAAGCAAAGCTTGTTATGAATCATGTACAAAAAAATATCTGTTCTTTTTTGTGGTGTGTTTTATTAATAAAGTGATTTAAACCAAATAAAAAAAAACAAAGTTTGTTCAGAGCCTGGATCTACTTCTTCCTTCCTCCAGACAAGATGAAAACTGAGTTGCCAATTCATAATTGGCATTACCACAACTGCAACTCTTTAATTATGTAGAAAAGTCTCACTGCAAGTGTTAAAATTTCTAGCAACTTACTTGAGTGTTTCAAGTGACATTTGCAAGTTATAATTTCTTTCCTGCTCCGGCAATTTTGAGAACTCCACTAAACACGGGTGTTGTCTTTTGTTGTCATCTCTAACCTGAAAAAACAACAGTAAAGGAATAAGTTTAATGTGTCTCAAAGACTAGTTGAAATTTAAAAACAATCCAAAGCACAAACTACTGCTGATTTTGTCAGCATTACTCAAACTGAACAGCATTTCAATTAAAAAACAAAAAATTATTCTCAGAGTCAAATCATTCTGTTCAGGTTAGGCAGAATTTGCATTTGCAAATAAAACAGATCTCAAGCAGAATACACTATCATTTGTACATTTTATTATATGGATGTTCGCAACAAAGATAAATTTTAAGAATAGTGCAATCTATGTTGTGCTTTGACATATGTCCATAAAATAAATTTATGTTGAGATTGTCTACAATTCATCTGTAGCATAGTATTTGAAAAAATATGCATCTAATTTTTATAACTAAGTTGATAAGAATACTATTGAGTAATCACCCCATGAAAGTAATGATATTCAGAATTAAGGATGAATCTACCCTCTTCCTTAATTCAACAAATATTTGTGTTTCTTAAAATTATGGCGGTGGTGTACAAGAAGAAACCAACTGTTGAGCAGTCACAAATGACTGGCATATTATTTGCACTGCAGTGATATCAGAGTCATAAAAATTATAATTTACAAAATCTTACATTTTATATACTTAAAACTTTGATCAAAAATATTTCTAACTGACTCTTCCTATATACAGCTGTAGTCTAATATCGGCCATAATTAGGAAGCGTAACGTGGGAGGGTAGGATAACTGAGCATTTCACCGCTCTCAGCTTTGCAACTTCAGCTTACTGCAGCTCCGTCAACAAAATCTACAGACATTGTCTTGTAAGAGGGCTTGATTAATAAAACATTGCTTTGACTATATCAGCTAAATGATTTAAATAAAAATGTTAATACATGCCCATTTGAGACTACATTTTTACTCATACTTTAAGCATTTTTTCCATACAAAGCTGGAATGCAAGGGTGGGGTGGGGGGGGGAAGTGCATGCCATTTTTCCACTGGCACTTGCTTTTAAAACTCAAATTTACTTAATTTCTAAACTGAACAGATTTGAAACTAAAAGACAATCAACCCTGAAAATAATAAAGCCACACTTAGGTATTGAAGTTTAAGGGACAGATCTGCGAACAGAAATAATTCTGAGTATGTTTTTCCCCTGACAGGACATGCAGAACTGTTAAGTAATTTACTTGACACCTGACAAATAACAACTGTGCCAATGAAGACATTGTAACCTCCACAGCTTTGGAGGGAGGCAGCCAGCCAACAAGACGCTGAGAGTTAACCTGTTTTACTTCACCAGATGCAGACTGGGGAGCACTTCAACAATTCCACCCACAGTGTGGTCGGTAGTGAAGAACAGTTCAAGGTAGGAGAGGACATCACAAGCCTAAACACATGCTTCTGTGACTCCCCAATAGCTCCGAAAGAGCCTTCTGTTCAACAGACCTTCAGGAGAGTTGCGCCATGCAGCATCTTGTGCTCCTGCAGCAGCCGGAAACACCGCAAGCGCTGAATGCACATATACCAGATCTACACTACCAGAACATCCCTTTTTTAATTAATGTTTAACACCGTAAAGCGAAAGTTGTTGCAAAACTAATATTAACTATAATTTTTGATGAATACTATAATTTTTGATGAATTAGATAATTTTGCTGGAAAATACAATGTTGACATTTGCAGTTAAGGAGCAAAATTCACATACTTTTCAAAGTTATATTCATTTGGTGACTAAAGGACGGTTTTTAAATTGTATTAACTGAAAAAAGGAGGAGGCCAGAATTTTCAGTGAGGTGGTACCATCAAACTGGGTACAAACTGTTCTCAATAGCTTTGTTTGACCTGCAATTCACATAAAGGATCAGAGTTGATGTTTCAAAAAGAAGAAGAAAGTCAATAGCCTAGAAAAATTCTGGCTTTCAAAAAAGCAATCTATCACACTTAAAATTGATTGCTTGCCCTGCAAATTGCATCAAATAAAGGAGCTTTTCTTTGGATTTTTTAATGCAAATATTTTAAAATGAAAAAGCTGAAGCTTCATGCCGGTAAATCCAAACACAGTATTTAAGATGATTACATTTTAAAAAATCCTATATCATAACACTGGCATATAAACACTGTGTTAGAGCAGGGAAAGAAAAAAATGGACACCTGCACACCTTAGTCTGTGGATAGAGTTTCTCTAATTTCAAGTCCTGAGTGTTAGTCACATGACTACCCACAGAATGAATATGAACATGGATCACTGATAAATACAAAATAAATTTCAGTTATCATTTTCTGTTTGTAACAGTTCTGTTTTTCTACACTGATCACTACACTGGATACCACTACTCAATCTAATTTTTTTAACCTCATAAAATAATAAAAAACCTTCACATTTCTCTACAACATATCTGAGTAATATATTTTCACTTTCCTATCTAAGTGCATAATAACTATCAGATTGAACAGCAGACGATTGTTCATGAATTGGATTGCAAAATATTCACAATCTCCAGGGAATCTTTCTCTGCATTTGATGGGATTAATGTTCTTTGGACAGGCAATACTAACAATTTAACTGCCAGCTGACCCCTTCAAGATCATTAGCAGCTAAGAAAAGAAACATTTTTAAATGGACACTGAAAATGTTTATTTTCAGATTTGTTTTCCACACTTAGAGTAATCTGCACTAATAAAGATTCAGTACAGTCTCCAATAAGAAGGACCACTTTAGTTCTTTGCAGAACTAGTTTAAATCTTGGACTCCAGATTTTTTCCTCGTATTTTGACTGTTAATTACATTTCCCCTAGTAACTCTATTTCATAACTACAATATATAATATTCCTATCAGATATTCAGCTTTATTGTAGGTTGCCTTCCCCCCTTTTTCTGAGCATACTATAAAATCTACTGCCTTACAAATACATTATATACATGACAGAACTCGTGACATGCATGGATTCTTAATTTTTATGGCTGGTTTTAAATGCATACGGAAGATTAAGAGAAAAGAAAAGAAAGATATTCAGATGCATCCCACTGATATGAAGTTGGGCACCTACATACCTCACATATTCAGGCTTCTAATGAACCAGCTAACAAAATTCCTTAAAACGCGCTCTAGCTTTGTTATGCTAGCTTGTTATAGGTACAACTTCAGTAGTAGGAGTGCATGCAAAGGCCAACAAGTAGTAGGAGTGTATGCAAAAGGCCAACAAGTCTACTTTGTTAATCAAATCTTTCTAAGTACTGTAGTATACTATACCAAAGATAGTATCTGCACCCTACTTAACATTAAATTTGTAGTTTGAATTCCTCAGAAGACCAAAATTTGTTTATTAACACAAATACCTATGAATGTTTCTATATGATCATACATGTTTTTAAATTTACAATTAGCATCTACTACATGTTCTACACATTCTTCACAACAGTAGTTCTTCATAATCACTACCTTTTGGGATTCAAACAGCTAACTCGTAGACTTCCTTTACAATTGATTAAATATATGTAATTAACACAATAGAGCACTTTTTTTTTTGTATCAAAGCCAGAAGCCACACACTTTTTTCTGCTCCAGTCTGTAAGAAATAGGAAGGAGATAAGGAAACAGCACTAGGAGCATGTAATAAATACATGAGTCTAAAGAGGAGAGGAGGAAGGAAAAAGGGAAAATTAATGGCATTTCCTACCCTTGGAAAACTAGCAACACTTATTTTTAATCCATCTGGAACGCTGTAAGATTTATGTCAGTCAATAAAAGCAAGGAGAAGCAAGAATACCTGCTTTTATTGTCACTCTACCAGGCAACTACTTCACTGAGAAGTCAAAGGCAAATCTATCACAGCTCTTGCCACATGCTAGCAGAGGCTCAAAAAGCTACCTTGCGTATAAGGAAACTGTATGCTAAACTATATGTTTAACCATGTTCTGACTAAAATTCTTACCCACAAGAATAAATAAGAGGGTGTAAAATCCCCTAGGGGCTTTGTGCGTTAGTGGTTAGACTGGTTGACTATTTAAGCACCAAACAGCTTTAATTCCAGAATTTTGATTCAGAGATATATAAGCTCTGTTGGTTCCCAATTACTTCTGGAGGAAAGTCTCTAAACCTTGCTAATTTTGGAAGGAGGGGAAAAAATCATTTCCATTACAACAAGGAAACCGATTTACCAAATAATATTACACAATTAGCAGAAAATGAAGTTGGAAAGTACATACTGGTCCATACTGCCAGCCAAGTTCAATTTTATTCATAACCCAAAGTTCATGGATGTTCTCTGCTAATTTTTCTCTAATCCTTTCCAGATGGGGAGGCAAAACAATCTAAAAAGAGAAGAGAGAAAGAGGCTGTTACAAATAAGTTGCCTGACAGTGCCAACCAAACTTTCGTTAACTGCTGAACTTTGTTAAATCAGATGCTCACAGTGAGCAAGAATTCTTAGATCAACAGGAATACTTCAACCTATGCTCTTACGAGTTCCAGAATTGGACCAGCAAAGGAAAACAGTTCTAAATCCAATATGTCTAAATGCTATGAAATATATTTCCGGTAGATGACCAGAAACTATCCATACCAATGGTATTTCTCAGCTGAAAAAGACAAAAATTTCAACAACCAACGTCATTTTCTAAAAAACTACTTCAATCAAATATTATCACTTGAGAACTATGCTCCAATAAAAAAATGATAGATGATGATGACAGCTGACAAGCAAGATCAGTTTAGCAAGGGACCCTATCGCCAAAATTTGAAATTAGGTAACTCTACCTCAAAATTCAGAAATCTCAAACATACAATTCTGTGAATCATGATAATGTTACCCTAATTCTTAGTATTACAGAACAATAATTACACAATACATGCAGAATGCCATATTTAGCCCATATTGGCTGCAAACTAGCTAAGTTCATTCTTTTTTGTATCTTTTTCAGAAATGAGCTCCTAAATATTGTAAAATCTGACCACATAATTGTCCCGAAAGTCTGCATCATCCAGAACTCTGGTCAAGTGTAAAATGAACTCTTGTGATCTGTGATCAGTGATGGAGCTCTTTGCTATCAGAGAAGCTACTGAATTACTAATCTTGGTAACTAAGTGAAATAGAAGCAAATATAACTTCAATGCACACCATTTACTGCCCCTCTCTGTAACCTGCAAGCCCAGTAAATAGGGCTGAATCTGGTCTAAACCTTCTTACAATGATGCAAAGTCTACTGTATTTTAAAGTAAAGAGCAGCAAAAATGTCTAGTAACAAAACAGTGGTAACCAGTGAAACATAACACAACACAAATGTTCTTTGTGTACTCTAAATTAAGAGTAAAATGTATTCTTCATTACAGCGCTTCTGAGCTGAAATATATGAAATTTTTAGTAAGCACTCTAAGACTTTACCATGTCTTTGATTTTTTTCAGTTTTTCAACTTCTAGCAATGAACTGTATGAACCGAACCCCAAGAAAAAAATGAGTTGGAGAAAAGCTGCAAATTCAATCAAGTTTGAATTAACGCAGGCCTCTAACATCTGTGTTAAAAGAGAAAATACAATCTTTCAGTTTCCCTACCTGGCTGGTATCTACAGGAACTGGGGTGAAAGCTGCTTGTGACAGAGAGATAGTTGGGCCCAGTAAGTCTCTTGTATAGCTGCGATCCTGTTTGTACTCACGGCTGTGCTCCACTTTTAGTTTCTCTTTTGGTAGGACAGCTTCAAAGCAAGGGGCATACCCAGGTGGAGGAAGGAATTTGAATTCTCCATGGCGACCTCCAAGCAAGAAACGTACCCTGTAAATATTAAAGTTAACTGACATAACTGACACTTCCGGTGTCAAGCGTAATCCGTTTGTGGGCCTAAGAACTACCGAACAACATTAAAGAAGAAAAAAAAAACTTACTAAACACTATTATTTGCATTCTTGAACTTTCTACTTTCTCTAATTATTGCTGGAGTTTATGAAGTAGTAGGTACAAAAACATGATGCAAATTAACTTCTTTCTGTTAGTTAACTTCCACTTCAGAAAAAGTATTCTAAATAGGTGAGAGAGGCTAAAGGAGAAGAGAAAGAGATAATAATCACCTTCCTAGTCTGGGAGATGAGAGGTTACTACCCAAAGTAACTGATCCACAACCTCTGAACTCTCTCCATTGAGGAAGATTACAGAAAAGAGCCTGAAAACTCAGTGGAACATGATTATGTCTTTTCTGACACAGAGTACTAAATCTTTAGGACACGATACAAAAAACCCTCCAACTATTACATTATCAGAAACCTAGGGGAAAGTATTATTTCATTCATTACAAAATGGCAAATTTGTCATGTTGCTTGCTACTGAAAAATTCAGTGAATGAGATGACCATGAAGTAGCAATGACATAATCCTGAAAAAATCTTCGTCAGACCATTGCCACCCAAGAAGGAACCCAAAAAAAAAAAAAACCCAAGGCCAAATTAATACCTAGCTTTACAACAGAATGATCTTTATATCTACTGACTGCCTTGTAAGGTCAATGCTATATCTGAACACTCTCTAGAAGCATATTCAGCATGTGAATACCATGTCACATACTTCTCTCATGAAGGAGATACAACATTCATGTTTATAGTTTGCAAGCATCCTAGTATGCAGTTTTACGAACATACATAATATTTACCTACATACATCTATTGTCACTGTATTACCTATGACAAAGTCTAAAAATGTGCATTTTGCATCTGGAACAAAAGCCGATACATTCTTAACTTCTGTAGCATTTAACACAGTCTTAGAATGATCCCTAACAGAGCATTGCTCTGCCTCCAACAAAAATCAGCTTTCAGCCTTTAGCTTGGCCACAGCTCCCTGCTGAAGCATCACACAGTTTTTAATATTACAGTCCCAAACTACTCCATACGTGGAAGGGGAAGTCTGGCACCTCAAGTGTGACTTGAAATTTTATAGAAAACCACTACAGCAATCAGAATACAGATCGACCGACCTCATATTAACCCATCCTGCTGAAAAGAAAGCCTACCACCATTTGCTAAGGAAACTGCAGATAATGCATCTTCACATAGTGCTTACTATAAGTGGGTTACGACAAACTTATTTGTAATAGTAAAGATTGATGTTTTTCTTCCCATACTGGTTAAAGGCTGTCCTGGAAGGGAATGAGTGGCAATAGGCATTGTACTGCCCTCTAAGAAATGATAAAGAAGCTGTTTCTAAGCCCTATTTGAAAAATCACCTGAATACCTGGTGTGCTGAAAAAACAACAGATGCACCATCCCTTCAGGACTCCTTTGTAACTCTTACTTATTATCCCAGAACAGGAACTGAGCCAAAGAAGCAGATGTCAGAAAGGGAAATGAGAGTGAAGACTGCCAGGGAAACATTCACCATATTCATATCTACTGGAAAAAAACGACTGGGAAAAAACTGCAGTGGATGCTAACTTTATTCATGCTGAGAAGCTGACAACTGGAAAGAAGAGGCCATCTATGTTGAAATTCTCAAACATTCCTTGAACTGGCTGACCATTTATCCGGAAAGAGATGCTGGGGGCACTCAGATCCAAACAGCAGCTAATAACGTCATCAGTTCTTAACAGATGTTGGTTGGGAGAGTTTACTGTCCGTGCTACACAACCTACGGAAGTAAAGGAGACACATTTAGCAAAACTTCTGAGAATGATACAAGGTTTCACAGCAACCTAAAAAAAAAGAAAGAGAAAACAAAGCAATAGAGCACAGATGCATCAATTCACTAATATCTAACCTATAACACCCCAGACCTGATTTTAACTTTGCAATACAGTGAAGAGAAGCATACAATCATATTTACAAAAATATAGAGCTACTTTAATCATAAAAATTAAAACTAAATTACACTGAACATAATTGAAAGCAATTGCTGATACCTTATAACGTTTAAAAACCAGAAAATTAGATTTTATTCCTCACTGTAGTAAAAGCGCAAATATAACATTACCGGGCAATATGGTACCTACTACATCAAAATACTCATCTCTAGAATGCTTCTTTATTCAAGATAGGGACTGTACTTTAAAGTATTTGGGAAAAGCAAGGTGGTACTTGTTATTAGGGGCCAGATCACGGTACCTATGCAGCACGATACTACTTAGTTTCAAAATCCCACTTAAAATTTAAGAGCATTTTTGCAGCATATACATTCAGTAATACATGTGTTTTTCTTTATTGTGTCATGCATGTACTAATTCTAAAGGACTGTTCTCTCTCCCATCATATTACAGCTACACAAGCACACCTGCTTCCCAAGAGAAATAACTGACAAAAAGATACAGAAATATGAGATAGACCATTTCTGGAATTTAAGAGCCATCCACAATAGAAAATTTATGGAAAAGCATGAAAGATGCATGAAAATAGCTCTAGATACGGTTTTGAAAAATAAGATTTGCAAGGTCTGCATGAGATAAACTGTAACATATTAAAAACAAAGTACTGACATTTTTAGCCATGGTTTTCACCTACTGTAAACATGAAGGACTTAATTGAAAGCACTATATTTCCAAAAATGAGATGAAAAGGCTATACTTTTTTAACAGAAGCAAAATAAAAAATCTCAATAGTTCTTGTGGAGATAAATCTTCACAGATACACTCTCCCTCAAGGAGAGAGGGGCAAAAAACCCAACACTTTTCTGGTATTCAAGGAATGGAAAATGACTTTTTGATTTCTTTATACTGACTGACACATTTGAAATAATAATCTGAAGACTGTAGGGCGGGTGCTCTTGTGCAGTCAGCCCCTCTTGATAGGGTAAAGGAACAGGAATGCTACCAGATCTGTCCAGCTAAGAATTTCTTTAGCACAGTAAAGGTCTGGACACACCCTACATACCAGCTGACACCAAATAATTAAGGGAAGTAAGAATTCCTCACTGGAAGGATACAGAAAAAAAGAAAGTGAAAGAAAACTGCACTCCTTTTCAGAAGAGTTTATCAGAAGATCAAAATAACAGCTTTCTACAATGATGTACAGGACAACTTTCCATAAATGTGTATCCTGTTTTTGCATCCTGGCTAAAGAGAAGAGAATACTTTTTAAAAACTGTAAATTAGGAAAAATGTATGAAAATAAACATTAATATAGTTCTAAAGGTATAAAGCATAACAAAATGCTAAGGGCAGATGCAAATTCTAGAAACAAAGTTTGGTGAGTGTGACTAAAATTTAATTCCGAACATCTCAAGACAGGTATTTTTTGCTGAATACAAAACAAGGTTGCAGCCGAAATCAATTCTACCTCTCCTCCTGGAAGAAAGTTCTGCTAAGTAGATACAGTGTCTCCAGATCTACACTAGGATCGACTCTGAATTTTAGGGATGGTTAGTTTTCTCCCAGACAACTGACCATAGTTTTCATGATTCCTATAGTTGAGCTAGCATTATAAAATTTGCAAAGTCATGGCTCTGATTGACATGGCTTGTACCTCTGTACTAAGAGACGTGAAAGCTCTGAAAACCTGCAGAAGTATAATTCAGACTCATACATCGGTGTGATAAGGCAATCTTAAAACCACAGGTCCTGAGTACTTGACCCATCTGCTTAACAGAACGAGTACTGCTTTTAAGTGCACATTCAGATTAATTGGCATAGGCAGGTGCAGGAAAAAGAGGCAAATCATACTCCCTCAACTTTAGCCCTGACTACTGGCTATTGACAAATACTCACTTCATAGGCCTACCTGCAAAACTTATTTTCAAACTTTGGGGTTGGGAAA